GAAATATATGGTGGCGCTGAAACAAAGCAGTGGCACAAACATTGCCGCCGTTCAGTCGAGAAACAAAATTCCACTAATTAGATAGTATTGGTATATTTTAGCTAACAACTAGATTATGAGCTCGAGATTTCTATCGCCGGGCGTGAAACTCGCCTAGTGATTATCTAAATCCTCTTCACCGACACTTGGGCAAGGATTCTTCGGTTCCTTTGATGCACCATGATCCAAGCGATCTTGGATTAATCTGTTTAGTAAAGAAACGCAAAATCCGTTTTCGGATTTAAGAATCCAATCATAGATTTTCTTAAAAACGCAGCCTTAGTATCCAGTGAGAATTGTGGCCCGACTTCAATGGATACCTCTTCCTTAATCGCCTGAATAAGGCCCACCTCAGACGTCGTGCTTCTACCGTGCCGAACTTAATTGCCATTAGGTTCGACTGTAGCACGGCAAAAAAAATACGATGATTCAGACGTCATGCCGGAGTCGAACCAAATTCAGGATTTACTGAAGCCTCGTATCAATTGTCCTCCTAACTCCCCGTGGGAACACAATCTCGCCAAAATACATTAATATAATTTATGAATTTTATTTAGCGCGGCAGAAGCACTGCGTTTGAACCGTTGCCAGCGAGAGTCGTGTAGCACGGCAGACCTTGTCGAACTTAATTTTTTGCCGAAATTACTTCAAAAGTATGATTGTCGAACTTAATTCCTGAATTCAGTTCGGCACGGTAGACGCACAACGTCTGAACTGGGCCTAACTCAAAAATATCACAAACATTTTTCTAAATATCTTTAAGTACCTCTCATTTTAGAGGAAGATTCAGACGCTTCGATGTTACCAGCATCTGCCATTTTGGGAAATTGCTTTTAGTGATACGGAAGACATTTTTCAAGTGGGAAATCAATACACCGAATTTTCTCTGGCATAGAACTGAGTATTGTTTCAATTGCAAGGAAACAGCAAGGAAAACACAGGTTACAGTTACGAATATTTCTGATGATATTTTTGCTTGCACGCGACTGGTCTAAACGCGTCGCTTAACTGAATATACCCTAGACTGTTCACAGCCCTCTATTTTCTCGTATTAACAAATTGATGTCATTTTTTATGCGTCTGTCCTCTTATTGATGACAAATTCACAATAAAAAAGGTTAGAAAAATTAAAACAACCTACTGTGAATTTATGATCCATCAAACATTTATTGCGCGCAGGTCATGTCGTGTGATGCATTCAACACTGGAGAATATTTAGATACACGTGACCACGATCATTTTCTCTTGTTAGATGCAAAAGATGTCGGCTGATATTCCCTAGTTTTCTAACTTTGCGCCGGATTTATGTTTCATCCCAAGTAACTTGCTAAATTGAATAGAACTAAAGATTTTCAGCAGACTATTTTGTACAGTGACTGAATTATTTTACGGCTTAAAAGCTTTGAGAAAAGTGGTCCTTTTGGGAAAAAAATAAAAAAGCTGACAAAGTCAAACAAAGAGTAAATCTCAATATCTCCCACTTTAATACTTGGGCTATATTTTAAAATGTGAAAGTAAGAATTAGCTTCTATGCCATGTTAACACATGAAAGTACCGCTCGATAGCTTTCATTTAAATGGTCACACACTGGGATTACATCCAACGACGTAGAAGTTATAGGCTTTCTGGAGACGAGGCTGTCATACGTCATCTAGCCATCTGTTGGAAAACTGTTCTCTTCTCGGAACAGATAATTTCCGCCTACCGGCGCGTAGTATCCGAGCATATTTTCGAGCCAAATAGAGGCTATTTATTTCACTCAAAGACTTATAGACTTTCTAAAAGTCCTTGCGATAATTCTTCCCAGGCCTGTTGGTTTCGCCGTTGGACTTTTCGCAACTGTCGAAGACACCTTCTTTTTCTCGCTTCGCTCGAGGGAGATGAATACCCTGCCCGTAAAGTCAGCGGCTAACCCGTTTATACCTGTACACGTGGTATATACCAACACCAAAAAGATGGCGGACAGGTCACGTCTTGACACTGCTGTTGTGTTCTTAACGTTTATTTTAAACATTTCTGTAGCGAACATATCTGGATTTGTGAGGTAAAAGAATGATATGGTTTTTTAATTGATTCAACTGTTTCATCACTTTTCATTTTGGCTGTGTTCCGCAGACTGGAGCCGGGGAAGCCGCTAGTTAATCAGGTAAACTCTCTTACTTTCCCTTATGGAGGGAACATCTGGTTCAGTCGCTCGTGTTTACTCAACATTTCTGTGAGATGAAACTATTACTTTATGTCTAAACTACTTCTAGCTTCTTGAGATTTAAGGCTTAGCAAAAATGTCTGTGATTGTATACTACATCATCAGGTTCTGTACCACGGAAAGACAGTAGTGTACCATTTGGTTCAACTGCAGCCAAGCAGAAGTTATGAGTTAKGGATATCATATCCTTCAACTGTGAGTTCTTTCTTTTGATTGTATATCGTTTTTGAATAACCAGGGTCGCTGTGCTATTGCTTCTTGTAAAATTGTTGTTATTAATAGATTGGTAACATCTTTTTGACATTTATTTGA